AAGGATTCCGAACAGCTTGTAATACAGACAAACTGTCGGTAACAATAACGGTTTTGAGTTTGTTTTTAAGGGCAAGGTTGGCAGCGTGAAGGATAGCTCTGGCTTCGGTTGTGAAAGTTGAAGTACTTTCGTGAAATATGTGGCGAATGTTTTAAAAATATTTAATTGAACAATTTCTTATGACCACACCATTTGCCATCGCTATCACTGAGATGCTTATTAGAGAAAGGATAAAAAAGCGCAACATAAAATTTGGAAGAGAGTAACGGGTGTTGATCGAATCCTGTACTTGTGAAGCAAAAGGGGGTACCTGTTTGCCGGTACATCTGGGTAGTCTGAAAAGGAGGCGCTGCCACGAGAAGTAGGTTCATCTTGCTGCTACATCCTGCCTCAGGTATTTGTAGCCAACTAGTAGTTTAAGTTCAAATGAGCGGCTAGGCGGCACCCGCTCCTGCGGGAGCGAGAGTGCGATGAGGGGGTGAGGAGTCTGTAGGGAGATATGGGACGGATACCAACGGAAAAGGTACAGACCTACGGACGGTAGACCGGACAAGATACGGGTAATGGGGTAGTCCGATTCTTTTTTTTTCTTCCTTTTGCGTGACAGATTGACCTTTTGTTTTTTTTTTTCTTTTATTATTGTAATGCGGTGTGGTGGGTAAGAAAACCGAACAAGAAAGGAGTCTCACCAAATCGTTCTACCGCAAACACGCCGCGTTACAAATAATAAATGGCGCCCTACGGAAACGTGAACGCGAACAAATAAATTCAATTCTTCTTTACGTAGTAAATTAACTCATTTTCGTGATAAACAATAGGACAAAAGTCCCATGTAACGTATGCTATAGATTGTATCGTATAATAGCGTTCAGCCCTTTCTTTTTATTGCTGCTTTTATAACCGAAAAATAAAGATAGAAAAACTTAGTGCATACATTTTCACTGCTGATTGCAGGCCATATCTGCCCTGATCCCCACAAAATCTTTTGCCATAACAGCCAATGAAACGTTGCAAACAATCTAGGTCAGGTCATTTTCATATCTATTTCCAAATTCAATGTAATAGCGGTTTAATAATAAGTTTCTTGAAATGGAGGACAAAGCAACTAAGATTTGTGTGGGTTTAACTCATCCATTTGCGATTTGTTTTCTTTTCATTTCAATTAGATGAAATTAAATATACAATGTGTAAATTTGAGCAACCATCGTCAATGTGTTGCTATCGGCAATGTGTTGATTTAGTGGGAAATCCTCAAAAAATCAACCTATTTTAGCATTATGTTGAGAAACGGGAAAAGTTCAGATGGCTAATGAAAGGGATGAATGTGGGTTGAAATTATTTTATAAAAAACCAGCGGTTTAAAAATATTAAGCATTGTTAACAATTTTTTTAACTCCAGCCATGATTGATTGTCAAATGCATATAAGTGATGCTAAATGGAAGCATATATATTTAAAGATGCTAATCAAGTGTGCTTTTATACTTCGTGGGGGCATTTATGTCGCGTCTTAAAAGTTCCCGGTAATAATACTCTCAGTTTTTTGGAAGGGTAAATCGCTACGGGTTGCTATGGCGACGACTCTGTCATACATTTCGCTAAAATAAGAGCTGAGTATATTTGGTGTTTTGTTGAAAAGACCGTCGTCTTTATAAACAACAATCAAAACAATGTTAACAAGAGTAGCATGACTGTTGTTACATTTTGGAATACCTTAACCAATCAAGTTGGCAGCATAATTGGAAATAACTAGAATGTAATTGGAAAGTAAATTTACATTTTTTACCTTATTTCATTTCAGAGTTTTCCTAAAGAATTTGAGCATTGCTTGGGAATGGCTGCATGTAATGACCGCTGCGTCATATCGATTGAATGGCTGCTGCCATTGCTGATAATGATGAATCAACAACGTTTGCTGAAGAGGACGAAGAGCTAAGCGAAGATGATTATAAACTCAAAGATAATGTTTATAAATTACTCGACATGTTAGTGGATAATGTTACATTAAAAAAATTCGGTTGGCCTGAAACTAAAGAGGAGAAAGTAAGCTTTAGCGAAGAGAAAGGAAGCCTTAAACTATTGTAAGTTTAAATATTCATTTTCAGGTCCTATGCAAGGTCAATAAAAATTGTGGTCACGATTTATCAAAAGATCCTTACAATTATCAGGAGTGGGATTACGGTAACTTTAACATTTGATTAAAATTTAACATTGGCTTTTACTCCTTTAATACTCGAATCTAAATTTATAAAAAGAAAACATTTTTAATTTATTAAATTGAAAATAATAATCAAGTTATTTTCTGTATTTGACACATTAGGTACCCGAATATGTCAAGTTATTGTTTACCGTGGTTATACATAATGACTCAATCAAACAACTTTTAAATAATTATTCCATTGATGAAGTAATAGAACACGTTTTAAGCAACGATGACGAGGGCGACGATGATGGTGATGAGAACAAGAAGGAGAAAAAAACAGATAAATCTGCTAGTAGTTCGACACAAATTGACAAAACGGATAATAAAAAAACCGCAAAAAGCGAAAAAGAAAAATCGAAAAACTAAAGTTAACTAAAAAACATATCGAAAACTGACAATAATTTTTATCTTAAAAGCAATCTGAACAATTCATGCTTGATTTATTATACGTAAGACGTGCTTTTGTAAATTGAGTGTATGATAAGTATTTTTATATATACTTTTTCTAAAAATAAAAGCAATAGTTTCTATTGCAGCGTTTGGAAAGACTTATAATAGCTTAGACAATAAGCGGACAACACTATCGTCAACATGAAATTTATTAAACAGGATGTACACAATAAAGTACATTTAAAAAATAATTAATGCTTCAGTGAAAGAAAGGTAAAGATTATATCGCCTAATAAGAATTTGCATTGAATGGCCAAAACATCACATTGGCGCCTGGTTCAAATCAAGGAAAAATTTTATTATTTTTCCATTTCCGTTACAAAAAACTAAAGATAAGACTTTTTTGAGGGCTTGCTTTTCGTAATAGCCCCTATATATGTTAGAATCTAAAAAATAAACCTACCTGATCCAAATTCCATGCCCCTAATTTTTTAGCTAAAATGTCACCAATTTTCGTCATAAAATATTAAAAACTTTTTGTGGGACTCACTATTCGTGAGAGCTCTTACATAGAGTGGAGAAAAAATTGAAAGATATAGGCACATAGAAATTCGGTCCACTTAATTTCAATGTCAAATTACTGCCATGAACAAATTTTCATTATAAAACAATTTTGGCATATCCTGAGAGTTCTTGTAACCGGTGGTAACTAAAAACTAGACCTACGTGGTTTAAATTCGGTCAATTCAAATTCTTTGTCGATTTATTCTTATGAACAAATTTTCACCATGAAATATTGAAAGTTGTATAGGAATCCTAGAGCGGTTATTGAGAGGAGGTTCAAAAAGTTCGCACAACCGAACCAAATGTTTCATACTAATAATTTTGTCGAAATACGTTTAACTAATTTTGAAGATAAGGCGTTATATGGGAAGTGAACGAAAATGCGGATCGATCCGAATCACTTTTAACGGCACACGCCTTTAGATCAAAGCACATAAGTGCACCAAATTTAATGAAAATGTCAACAAAATTGCGACCTGTACGTTGAACACAAGAAGACATACGTCCGCACACTTAACATACCCTGTGCCACAAATGGTGTAGGGTATAAAAAAGTCGAATAGAAGATGTCTGAGGAATGGGTACGAGGAAAACGCAACAACTCAAACTTATTGGAGAGCAGACGCTGTTACTTTGGTTAGGAATAATCAAGAAATCCATAAAAATCGTCAAACGCTTCTTTTGATTTCGATAGAATTGAGAAAAGCTCAGTACCCAAAAATGACAATCTCTTCTTCGCTAAGTTTTTAGAATTTAATATTTACAATTTTTTTTTTTTAAATCTTAGATTTAGCATAAATTTCGTTAAAAAATTATGCGAAATATTTAATAAGAATGAAAAATTAATAGATCATTATGAACAAACGAACTTGGATCAATTCAGAAGCCGTTTCTAAATCGATCGGAGTAATGAAATGCGGTTTTCGCAAGTCATTTTGGGTGTTGTCTATATCCGGACGTATCCTTGATATATTCTCGTACCACAAGCGGTTTAAAAAGGAATTGAGATCCCTTTCCTTTTTTTTCAATTTCTTAAAATCCCTTGAAATCATTCATTCTGCGTATAAATTCCTTCTTATCAACGTTCTCCATGCTTGACTAAATTAGCTTTTCAATCATACTTGAGTGAAAGGGAAAAACGTTCTGTGGGATCGTTGTTTTCAAATTACCAAGGATACGAAAATCTGTCGCCTACTAATAACTAAACATTCCTTTAAATATGTTCCACCGTTAGTGTAACATTTCTAATAGAAGGCATTTTTTCAAAAAAACTATGGCTGATAACCTTCTTAGACCCTTCAGTTATAAAACTCAATCAAACACTATGGGTAAATATGTTAAAAAACCAGCATTAAGTGAAAAGCTGCTCAAGATGCCACCGTTTCATTTTCTGCATGACGTCTTTAATGCGGTAAAAATCTATGAAATGTTGATCCGATGTTAAATAAAATGAGATTTTTACAATTATTTCTACACAGGTTGTTTTGCGAGCTTGCACACGCCGGGACAATTAAATTTCGAAAGCATCGTATATCGTAAGCGAAAAATGCGATTTTTAGTTGTTAGTAAGTTGCCTGGTGGTAATAGGTCTTTAAATCAAGAAAATTAATTTATATTTGAAGTAGAAAAGAAAACCTGATCTTCAGTTATTTGGTAATCAAGTGCAACGAGAATTTAAAGCTGAAGTCTAAAAATTGTCATAAGAAACATTATAAATGGAAACAAAATAAGCTATCCTTTAAATTCGAGGATTCTCATGGAATTTGTGATATGGTGTTAGAAGTTATGAAACAAAGAAACAAAAACAATTTTGAACCCGCATAGAAATCATAAGAAAACTAAACTAAACATCAAAGAAAAATTATTGTGAAACAAAACCTGTAGCCGCTGAGCTTACCCCAGCACCAGGTATGGGCTTTGGACTTTACAGTATGTTTCATGTGCACTGTTTTTTTTATTTAATTCAATGGCTTTTATTCAATGTGCGGTTCGCAATGTATATGTATCAAGCCAGTTTTTCGCTTGGCTTACTCTTTGTTTACTTTGTCTTCAATACTGTGACGTTTGCATCTAATTTGATCGTTTTTTTTAGAAAGTGTGAAGCAAAAGCGACTCCTGATTCTGAAGAATTCATCACTTGTTGGCTTCGCAAACGTTTTTGTTATGCGAAGTGTCCCGACTGTAGGACTTATGCAAGCTTTTCACCGAGACAAGAAATGGGTTTTCTGAATTAAGCAAAAATCATGTGACTTTGCGTGGAAGGCTTGAAAAAATGAAGACAATGTTCGATGAGTGTCGTTATCTAAAGCGCTCATCTTCTTTCCAAGTTTGTAAAAGCGCAACTTGTAGTGTAGTGTGTGGTAATTCACCTCCTTCTTCGCCTAAATCTGATTCGTCGATACATGTGCGTGCCCCCTCGTCGCCTAAAAAGATCGTTAACGTTTCGTTATCGTTGAGTCAGCTAGTAATAAAAAAGTTCCAAATAAGCCGGGAGAACCTCCTCTAAATTCTCTACATTCGAATAAGACCGTTCAGGTTTTCAGTAAAGTCGATTGAATCGCACTGGTGGCGGTGTTTTAATTGGCATATCTGCTGCAGTTCCGTTCTATTCCCTTGGATTTCATAATCCTCTCTACATTGAATTTATTGCCAAAATTGACAATGGACAGTTATGCGTAATCTGATCCTACATTGCCCCAAATGTGGATATCTCTATTTATAATAAACATACTGGCTTCAATGGTGATGTGGGAGAATCCTCAAACTGCTGATAAAGTCACAGCCTTGCAAGTTTCAATTTGCCACAAGTCATTTAGTGTTGTAGTGGTAATTCTATTTAATTTATGGTTCCCAGCCCAAAATCTGATAGAGCTATTGATTTTTTCAATGGATTATTTAAACGCAATTTATTTGAATTCAATCGCACTCATCCCTAACTATAATGGCAGATTGCTAGGTCTTTGTTTGCGAATTTCCCGAAGATAGCGGTAAGTCGCTATTCACCTTTTAGTTTGCCTGAGAAAAAATCCATATATCCCCCAACGTTTCTTTCAATATCTCTGAGCCGCCGGATGACATTGAAACCTTAGAAGTCTTTGCTAAATGCTTCATACGAAATTTTTCAACTGATTCTGATTTAATTGTAAACTGTTCAAATCCGATATCTAACTCGGTTTTGATTTCTAACTTGGTTATTTCGGAAAATTGTTTTAGATGGTTTACGGTCTCTAAAATATAGTTCTGAATCCTGACCTGATGGGATTCCATCATGTATACCTAAACCATGCTCTGTAGTGTTTTTTCAATGAATTCTAATTTGTCCTTGAGATGAGGTATTTTCTCTTTGTGTTGGATGGGTAGCCTCCTTATTCCGATTCCAATAGACAACTATAAAGGTGCCATCAACTTGAGCGTCTTACCTAAGCTGTTTGAACAAATTGTTACTCACCGTGTAGCTTTTGCTATTAAATCTTATATTTCTCTATTCCACTATGGCTTTCGGAAAGCAGGACCTACTATCACAAATCTTTTAGCGTTTACTTGGCATGTTTTCAAGGCTTTTTCTAGTGTCTCTCGCACGAATGTCGTATATTCTGATTTTAGCAAAGCGTTTAACTTAGTTAATTATAATTTATTGAGCTTCAAAATCCAGGCCTCCAGTTTCCCTTTCAACGTAGAGAAGTAGATACGCTCGTATCTGTATGAGACCCCTTAAGACCCCTTTTATTTAATTTACACATTAATGATTTCCCCCCTGTAATCAAACCAGCCATATGTTCATATAAGCTAACGATGTTAAACTGTTTTCTTCCTTCTCCTTGGAATCGAGATCGTGTCAGCTTCAAATTGACTTAAATAATTTGGTTACATGATTCGTTAAATTTTATGAAATTAAATCTGAAAAAATGTAAGAAGCTATCTTTCTTAAAGAGGGTATCATTTAATACTGATTATATCATTGATTCACACAACTTGGAAAACATTGATTCGTTCATCGGTTTAGGTGTTCTATTCGACCAACGAT